GGTTTAAAAATAGGGCCTGGAGGTTGATTTACTGATAAGCACAACTCTCTGGAATGTTATTTTTAAAGCTAGCTTCTCGAATGTCGTATCTTAACAGGTTATTCAGAAACGTCATAATTTAGAGGTCCAATCTACATACAGTAGTTAGTAAACCCCAGATTTACCGCAGAGTTTATCTACTTGGTTTTGTGTTATTTTCCTTATAATTAAAAAAGCTTAAGATCTCGTGTTATATATAATTAAAGATCTCGTGTTATATATAATTAAAGTTTTAACAGGAATAATGGAATATAGTGTGCACCAATTATAACCTCTGTAGGAGCTTCAAGCAAGACACGGTCGTTTATCGTCAGGTAACCTCCTAACTATAAGTATTTGATTCTAGATCAGTACCTTCATTCTATAACTTCTCCCGGATTGCTGCTAGGTTTACGGGTTGCTCAGTCCTTTCATTTTTATTGGCAGAGCCGCAAAATACTTGATAACCAGGGCAGATTGAATTTTAGCAGGGGGCTGGATTCTGGAATTAGACCGTCTTGGGAATTGTAATTTGAATTTGCAATGATTGAGAACCACATTGCTATCCCCGTTTAAATTTATTCATTTAGTGAAATTTCATGATTCAAAATTTACAACAATTAATCAATTTTGAAATGAAGAATTTTATTAAAAGGGAACATTGCAAACGTCATTTGTGGGTTTGCGAGAGGTAAATTTGAGCTAGAAATTTGAAAAAATAGCCAGTCAATAAGTATTGGCTTCACCGTAGTAATGTTTAAAGTGCAAGGTATTATAGGTAGACTGTGATAGTTACATTGTGTTGAGAATGAAGAAATTTGAGAATTCTCCGTTAATCGTGAAATTATTCAAGTGTATACTCGTAAATAGCTCCTTCCCTCGCCCACTGGGTCTACTATCCTCATCAAATTTTAGAGGTTGTGTCAGATTACCTCTTTGTCGGGTTCAAAAAATAATGACAGGAAAATTTGATTAGTTCAGTTGTCCGTTAACGCGAGGTATTTTTAGATATAATACTCGTTTCTTCATAAATTTAATTTCTAATTTGCACACTCGCATCGATAATTAATAGCCAGATGGCTAACTAAGTGCGATTTCAGCTATTTTTCTTCCTGGCTTGAATTATCAGTGCATCTCTCGATAAATCAGTATAATATTGGTCCGTAACTTCTTAACGCGTTACCAGGTTACCAGGTAACCAAGTAACTAGGTAACCAGGTAACCAGGTAACCAGGTAACCAGGTAACCAGGTAACCAGGTAACTAGGTTACCAGGTTACCAGGTGACCAGGTTACCAGGTGACCTGGTAACCAGGTAACCAGGTAACCAGGTAACTAGGTTACCAGGTTACCAGGTGACCAGGTTACCAGGTTACTAGGTAAGTTTTCACTCTTACTTCCACTAGTTAGTCTCTACAATTAGTATTTCTAGAAGCTACGTCTTGTAGGACTGGTGCACTGATGGTGCAACTTATTTAATTGACGTTTAGTTAGTTAAAGGAATCGATATTGTCATATTAGTAATTCAAATAAATAATATTGACTTCTTGATGATCAGTAATTTGCTATGTTTCTCGAAAATCAAAGAACGAAGCAATTTTGTGTCTTCACACTGTTCCCTTAGTATAGGCTATAAACTCTTAACCAGATTAGAGTTGACGTTTAGTTAGTTAAAGGAATCAATATTGTCATATTAGTAATTCAAATAAATAATATTGACTTATTGATAATCAGTAATTTGCTATGATTCTCGAAAATCATAGAACGAAGCAATTTTGTGCATTCACACTGTTCCCTTAGTATAGGTTATAAACTCTTAACCAGATTCGCTATTTAAATATTTATTGTCATCATGATTCACTTCTGATTATTAACGACCTATTAACAGTGCACGTACGGGTTATACCATCAGAGATTTCTTCAGAATTTGAAACTTTTAGGAGGAAATTTTGACGACTTCCGATGTTCCCTATAATTTATTATTTCCTTTCATTTTGACTCTTGTATTTGTTAGTTAACACACATTATTTATCTGTATCACAGTGAACCTCGTGATCACACCGTTTTTGTGTATAGATATTAGGTCACGTGTACTTCGGAGTTGCTAAATCTAAGTTTGAGTATTTGTGAAATGTACCATGTACTTTAGTATTATGTAACGAGGTAATGTAGCCACATTATGGCTCGTTCAGTCCACAAAATGTTTTTGTTTCAACCCTGGTGTCTGTTTTTCTTCGAAATATCACCAACCACCAAGCCATTTAAATATGCTCAATATGATTTTAATCTTCTAGTTTTAGTTCAAAGTTATTGTTGTGTTTTAGATTTTATAAATAAAACGGCTTAAATCTGAATGTTGTTGATGCTTGATAGTAGTAATCTCATGATTAGTTGATATCCGTCAGCAAACCTTGTGATTTTAACATTCATTGCAGAGCATTAAACATAAAAATAGGTTTGGCTGGTTATAAAAGTTTGAAGCTAAGCCAAAAACCAAAATTTGTCTTACGTTCTTCTTGAGTACATGTGATATAGCTTTGAGCAAATACACTTTCTCTATAGTTTAATGGTGTAAGTACTCTAGTAGCTAATAGAGTAAAGTAAGCCTAATCCTCAGTGAATACACCCTGAGTGACCAACCCTCTTTCGAGGGGTGCCCCTCCATGCCCCTCTAAACGCCCCTCAGTGGGCCTAATGCCCCTCTTTTGGAGAGGCATCAGTATTTATCCCTCTGAAGCAAGTAAAACTGTTCAAATCAGCTAATTTCCTCAAAAAAATTTCGCCGGTTGCACTGGGATTACTTTCAAATTCAACCGTTGGAACTATTATTTAAGTTTTCTAATTGCGTATTGAGTTATTATGGGTTATAGGAGTGTAGGAGGAGGGGGGGGGGGGGGCTAATTATGCACTGGTATACATGAAAGTATAAAAATGTAATTTGTACGACCCGAAGGGACGAAGCTCGCCGCAGGCTAAGCTTCATCTAGGGCTAGACGCCCCTCTAAATGCCCCTCTTTTAGGTCAAGATGTATGCCCCTCCAAGTTATTTTTCTCTGTTGGTCAGTATGAATACACCAGTTGGATTTACCCCTGATTCGGTGAGATTCTGGTAAATTGGTAAAGGTGTAAAGTAGGTTGTACACTGGCCAGTAGTTCCAGTTCTAATTTAGATAGTTAAATATCGTTTAAATGTGCTACACGTCACGTAATTGTGGGATTCCTTTATATCACTGGGTCGAGAACCTGGTGTATTCATACTTGAGCTCTTTTGTTGTTATATAGATATAATTATTGCTCTCTCTATGATTAGTGTGCAATAAATGGGCTGTAGCTTGAGTCTTACTTCATTTAGTTGCCAGGATTGAGGATTCACTTTGACTCAGACTGTGCTTTATCCTGGAAATACGCGTGATTTGGCTGTATTAAAGTAGATATTTCTGTTCTATCGCCGTTATTAAAGTGCATACCTGTAATGTTGCCTAATATAATTTGTCTGACATCAAAGTTTCCTAAAGACAGTAGCGTCTAGCGCAGTCAGAGTTCTTACTCCCTTAAATAATTCTAAAATTTCCTTATGAGTTCAATGTTTATTTGCCATAATATGGCAAATAAATATTATTAGGTCATGTCGATTTCCCTATTTAGAGCAGTCTTGAAAGGCTTGATGCTCTAGCAGACCCCGCAATTTCTTCATTAATCTTAAAGCTATACGTAATGTGGGGCTGATAAAACCTGGGTTAGGTCTAGACAATTTTAACCTGATAGTGATAGTTTCATATATATCTCGTGACAGCTCTTTAATGAAGGTTCCATTTTTGTCAGTTTTTATGACAAAAATGGCACGTGTAGTAAATATTGATAGCTGAGCATCACAATTCTTCTAGGAACAACTGATTTGATTATAATCTGTTTTAATCTGATAATTTGTCAGGACATTATCTCTACTATAATTCAGAGAATTATTTTTGTTGTATGTACGACCGCCCACGTGCAAATTATCAGATTAAAACATGAGTGCAAAAATCATGATGAATTGAGATCACGTAAGCAGATGTTGGTACTGAGGCCGGCTAGTAATGGAGATTGTTAAGATTTGCCAGCTGTTCTGGAATACATAGATTTCAAGAGAGCTTTTGATATCGTAGACCGAGGCAAAATGTATAAAATATTTGTAGCCTAAAGTTATATAGGTTGAGAAAACAGACATAGTGATCAGGGTTAGGATTGGACATGTTGCGTATGGTTCGGTGTTTCTCAAGACAGCAATAAAGATCAAAATACACCAACTTTTGTCTTTGCATGAATTGCGGGGATTAATGAAAATAGTTTATAAGATGTTTATTGACTGAAATATTTATTTTTCAATTTTTACCGTAAAATTATGAAAAATGATACCCATTCATTCTTCAAATTTTGATCAAATGGGCATGGGCATCGATAGGTTTACCAGTATTAACTGGCTTCGACTGAATGCTTTATATTATTTATTAAGATTAGATCGCAATTAAATAAATTCTATGGTTTCCCTACAAGACATAACCACTAATGATTGCGAGATCAGATCTTATCTAGAGGATATCTTGTATCAATGTGCCGATAAATTGTACACTAATTTCATTAGTTGTGTTCCTTATAATAATACAATTAGTGGTTCTTAACTCAGTTGCAGACCTTATATAGTTAATAGTTGTATTGTAATATTATAATAAAAAGATAAAATGGTCTGTTTTGTATAGTATCATGTTCACTTCCAGCAATTTAACTTGCTAATGTAATGGTTTATTTTACGAATTGCTGTTTTTTTGGTACAAACTACCTTCAATCCATTCTTTTACTTGTTCTCTTGTTATATAACAACAGCTTGTGAGTTGTGTGTGGTTGATCATGATATTTATATTTATTGTGTTGATAAATCAATACAATGATTCTCAATTTGACCGTATTTGACAACTCATTGTTTCAATTTATTCTTGGCTATCTGGCACCTAATAACATTATTTTAAAGTAGTTCTCGTCAGCGCTTTATTTTGTGTTTAAGTTGGAAATGTTCAATTGTCGTCCCTGAAGAGAGGTTTACAATATGTCCTCCAAGACAATGGTCTTCCTCAATGAGGTAAGAAGGCATTTAAACACTTTTATAATTTTTATGTTTGAAGAATTCTCAATTCTGCTATCAATAATCAATTGTGAGGAAATCTGTTTTCCTCTAAAATGAAAGTTTTTCTGAACATTCGAAATTATAATCTGTAACATTATAGCTTTATAGGAATGCTATTCAAATACACGCATAGAAATTAGAATATCAAAATTTCTTAATCAAGAATTTTTAGAGCTTTGTGTTTAAAATTAGTGTTTGTTAATACGGAGACAGGTCGCAGCATAGTGTAGTCTGGAATCTGGATTATTAGATTAATAGTATTATCCAGTATCATAGTCACGGTCCCACTGAGTGTTGGGCGAGGCCGACGCGAAAACAGCTAGGTAGGCGGTACAAAGTTACAAAAAGTATGAAAATGGAACAGAGATGTTAACATTGCAATTTGCGCAGCTAGTTTATTTTAAAAGTTACTGCAAACGTTATGGGAAGGTATTTCTCGGATACCAAAGTGAACTACATTAGTTCCTAAATTTATCACTTTCAAATTAATGGCAAATAAATTAAATTAATGGAAAATAAATTAATTTAATGGCAAATAAATTAATTCAATGGCAAATAAATAAAATTAATGGCAAATAAATAAAATTAATGGCAAATTAGATCAATGGCAAATAAACACGTACAAATTTCCCGTCCAAATTTTGGGTACTCAAATTTATTGAGCCCATAGTTTTGGCACGCAAACTTTTGAGAACTAAGGTAGCTACTGTGTAGAAAACAGAAAGCAGCTCTGACATTATGAAAATATCCCTAGTATAGGTGATAGGTTTGCAGACATAGCTATAGGCTTGTTGCATCTAATCAGAAGAGAGCAGGAAATAATGTTTGTGCCGCTCTATAGCGCACATTTCAGTTTCCCAACCAAAACTAATAACATTGATAAATATCTAGATGGGCACTGGACATTGACGAGAGATACAATATCATATTGGTCTGTTTAATAATATTATTTCGTGTGCGACCGGGATCTGATTAAACTCTAGAGCTGAAACGTTCTCGGTGGCCCTGTTATAAATGCACTATTTTCACCTGTTCTGTTTTGTTGGTTGGGTTATATATAATGCAGGGTATTTTCCAATACCACAATGCCTGAATGCCCGCCTTTTCGAAAATGCTACTCAGAGTGGAATAATGAGAAACCTGTGGTAGCACGATATTAACTTATTATCGGGTACTTGGCAGCGCGTGATTCCAACACCACGAGCCACTCTGTCCGTCTAGGCTAGCTGTCTTACTTAACATTTAAGACTTAACTAATCGTGCTATAATTCTGTAGGTGGTATTCTTTACAATTGTTATAACTTTAATATAGTTATTCTAGAAACTTGTAGATTAATCTGCAGTGCATCAAATCTATTATCAACTATCCTGCTAACAAAGTAGTACCACTGATGCGACAACACAGTGATGTACTCTAGACTAACGTTCTGCAACCCTTGTTATTACCATTCACAATAATTGTAAGTCACAAGATTAACCAATAGGTGCGCAATATTCGAACCAGTGGCCAATCAGGAAGCAAGCTGAGCCCCGCAGACAATAGTACTGCAGAATCCATAATCACTAAATTTAGTCAGCTGTTTTTGCAGCCGCCCGGACAATATTTGCGTGGTACTTTTATTCCAATACTTGCACTTATAGACTTCGTCCTGGGAACAGAACTCTCTGGAACAAAACTTTATTTTTTCGACAAGTGCGCTGTCAGCTAAAATACACTGTACTACAGATTTACTAAATGACATTGTTACCTACACTTGTACTTAGTAGCCTCCCTCCAGATGTTTCTCACCAATCTCTGAAGCTCCTTGTAATTATTGTACATAATAACATACTACCTCTATCATAATACCTATAACATAACATATAATACCTATATTTAGTACCAATATAATAACCTCCATTTACACAGAGCATTTTAATCACCATTACATATCTGTCGGTGTGTTATAAGGCAGCAGCTGTAGTGTCTACCAGTGTGTTCCTTTGTAACCTGGTAACCTGGTAACCTGGTAACCTGGTAAACTGGTGTGTAGCTCAAGTGTTTCCGTTATTGCGCAGTGAGTTTCCCTCCCGCCACTAGACTTGAATTGTTACCTACTCTCTTCTCTGCCTCATCAAATATGTCTCTTCTCTTTTTAGATTTACCGTTACATTATTACTGATTACCCTCATATAATAATGTTTGTAATTGTATGTAAAGTTGAGGTAAGATGTACGTGGTATTGCTTAATAAAACTCAACTCGTGCTTGTTATCTTTATCGTTTGCCGGTCTGACTCCGAATCTTGATTGTTCCTTCGCTTCTTTTCATACGTTTTCTTTTCTGCGATTGTTGTAGTATCATAGTTTTATTGGTAACAGTCAGTCAATGACTCTTGTGAGAAATGTGCCTTGTTTTGAAGTGCTTGTAATGGCTACTACAGTGCCTCTTTTCAAAAGAAAATATGTAATAAGGAAACAACTGTAAATAATGACATTATAAAATATAACACAATTCCGGAAGCAATAATTGTAGTCTAAACGATAATTGCAGCCCAGGCCGGGTAACTTGAGATCCATTTAAAGTTCGTTGCCTTAAGTCTAGTTTAAACTATTATCCTCCCTCAGCTCTAGCGGTTTCAAGTTTATCAGTCATTTATCTCGTTACTCTCAATATTTGGAACGAATACAATAGAGAGCTTTCCGTCCTTCAATTATGTTGTTCATTGCCAAGTACCCATTGTATTTGTAGTTACATGACCGTGTTTGTTAGTATGTTCTGTGAGTTGAGACTCACACGATAGTTTCCTTACAGCTCCTACTGACTACTGTGTGTTGCTTGGTACTGACTACTGTGTGTTGTTTGGTTACTGGTTACTGGTTACTGGTTACTGGTTACTGGTTACTGGTTACTGGTTACTGGTTACTGGTTACTGGTTACTGGTTACTGGTTACTGGTTACTGGTTACTGGTTACTGGTTACTGGTTACTGGTTACTTGTAGTAGTAGTACTTGTTATTTATTTTTATAGCCTCACAAACTCTGTAGAACCAGACCCCTGTCAATTTGTCACTACTTTATTAATAATCACCTGATTACTGGTTGCAGACTGTCTACATGAACCAACTAGAAGAATATGAAGAGAGAGAGCTCCCTTTTAATAAGTCTAATCAGTTTGCCCACACCCTCTAGTTAATTTATTACTTCTCAGTGAAGTCAGAGAACACCGTCTTGATCACGTAAACAGCCTCGGCAACGTTGACATTTAACACACAAGCCGTCCGGGTACAAGAACATTATTATTATTTATTATAGTACCAAATATACAGAATATTAGTATATTATGATAATAGTAGAGGGACCCTCAATTTGAGCCAACTCCAATACCAGTGATGTCTTGTACATTAGAAATATGTTTGTTTGGCTAATTCGTTATAAATTATTGAGATATTAAATTAAGGAAAATAGTAGCTGTTTAGCAATATCTATGGTCTCTAATATACACCCTCTAAATATATATAATCTCTTATGCAAAGATTAAAGAAGGATTATATATATGATCTTTCGATGGAATCTAAGATATGTCGTTATAATTTTACGATCGCGCATAGTACAGTAAGCTTTTCTAGGATAATCTTGTTTCATTTGCCTTCTTCCAGTCGCAGAGAGACTCGCTAATTGGCTTGCAAGTGATGGAATACCTACTGTTTCACCTTTAATTAATATATTCGCATATATGATATATCTACCATAACTCTAGAATAATTGACACAGCTATATCGTTAGCTATTAGCGACACTATACGGCACGGCATATAATTACTATTTACTATAAATAGTAGTCGTTCCTTTCCGTGAGCATCTCCACAACACTCAGCATCAGAGCAGCACGTTAAGCAATTTATAAAACGGAAAGTTACAAATCAAAAACAGGTGCAATATATCCCTTTTTGTTCCCGAAGTTCTGGAATTGAAGACATCGGCGTAATCTTTTTTTAGAACGTAACGTGCTATTTGATTTGAGAGATTACTACTTACTTACTGCCGTCAACTTTAAATATCATTCCTATTAAATGAGACGAGTATGAATTATACTCGGATGTTGGAGGCCATTAGCTTAAGTTTTACCCTAGAGAAAGATTGATTGATTGTGCCACCTGGTTGAAACAGGTGCTGCCATGCTGAGTATGCACCTGACACGAGACACAAGACACGTGCCTGAGTATGCGTGTTGATACTAATATTATAAATCCCTATAACTTTTAGGAGCCGCAATAACACTTTTATTTTCGTCTGCATCCGTCGCTTTTCAGTTGATATATTATTTTATAATTGATCAAGGAATGGAAGAATTGTGTATTTCTGATTTGCAACCTTTTTTCCTGTATTATTAGATTGATTTTTCCTGCGGGCGTGAAACATTTTTGTCACAGACTTTGAAAAACGTAATCGCTCTTCGTAGTCTTACGATTCTTGAATTCAGGAAGAAGCTAAAATACTACCAGCCTGTAATTTGTCATAGCTGTTAATGGATTTTCTATTGTCTCTTGATACTGTATCCTTTGAAGAATATGAATTGCATGTTTTTTCTTCTGATGAACGAGAATGAAAGTTATTTCATATGTAGCTGTTAAAAGTGTTTAAGACTAAATGCCGATAAGCACCTTTTAAAGAGACTTCATGTACTTTATTTATAGTCTGTTTTGAGTAGAAGCCGTCAGTAGCCCCGAAATTCCTGTTAGGTTAATTTATCAGCATTGTGATAGGTTAATTTATCAGCATTGTGATAGGGCAGTTGATCTGATCGGCACCCACCCACTGATAACAGAATACGGCAATTCAATCTACGGTCACACCACTAGCGTCAGTGACGGGTTACATTTATCCATTTGTCAGTAACTCTGACATATACCGAATTTAGACTTGAACTATAGTTGCTAAGCTATAGTTGCGGGTGGGCGACAATTGACCCCCCGACAATTGACCCCCCGACAATTGACCCCCCGACAATTGACCCCCCGACAATTGACCCCCCGACAATATAATTGAATACAATTGACCCTGACCCTGACCCTGACCCTGACCCTGACCCTGACCCTGACCCTGACCCTGACCCTGACCCTGACCCTGACCCTGACCCTGACCCTGACCCTGACCCTGACCCTGACCCTGACCCTGACCCTGACCCTGACCCTGACCCTGACCCTGACCCTGACCCTGACCCTGACCCTGACCCTGACCCTGACCCTAACCCTAACCCTGACCCAGGATCCTGACCCTAACCCGATCAATTGACCCCAGTGTAATTACATGGGGGGTCAATTGTCGGGGGGGGGGGGGGGGGTCAATTGTCGTACTAAACCCTAGATTTCGCGACAATTGACCCCAGTGTAATTACATAGGGGTCAATTGTCGGGGGGTCAATTGTCGGGGGGTCAATTGTCGGGGGGTCAATTGTCGGGGGGTCAATTGTCGCGGTACCATAGTTGCTACTTGCTAAGCTATAGTTGCTAAGCTAAAGTTGCTTATGTTTCAATTTCTTCCTTTCCTCGAATTTAATTCCCAACGCTCTGTTAGGAAGCCTTATTTCATGACCCCAATGCTCTCTTTAATTTGCTATTTGCCGCAAACTTAAGCTCTGTTGTAAGTTTCTGAGATAATGATCTCTCTCTCACTAGGTAATCTGGTGAGTGGTGCACTGTTTGCGACTCAAGCCGTATATTTGCCCCCAGTATTCTGTAGTGGTCTGTAGCGAACACCACAGACTACCGAAACAAGCTAATTTACAACATTCCCTACTAACCACTTAACGCGAACTGTTTCCCACAGATGTGACATTAGGTGACCGTTCAAATCGCTTCTTAACTATGCGTTCAATCTATCAAATATCTTCTGAACTATGCGTTCAACCTATCAAATCTCGTCTTAACTATGCGTTCAACCTATCAAATCTCTTCTAGTTCTTATCTATGCGTTCAATTTATCAAATCGCTTCTTAACTATGCGTTCAACCTATCAAATCTCTTCTTAACTATGTGTCCAACCTATCAAATATCTTCTTAACTATGTGCTCAACCTATCAAATCTCTTCTTATCTATGCGTTCAATCTATCAAATCGCTTCTTAACTATGTGTTCAACCTATCAAATATCTTCTTAACTATGCGTTCAACCTATCAAATCTCGTCTTAACTATGCGTTCAACCTATCAAATATCGTCTTAACTATGTGCTCAACCTATCAAATCTCTTCTTAACTATGCGCTCAATCTATCAAATATCTTTTTTAACTATGCGCTCAATCTATCAAATCTCTTCTTATCTATGCGTTCAATCTATCAATTATCTTCTTAACTATGTGACATGCGTTCAATCTATCAAATCTCTTCTTAACTATACGTTCAATCTATCAAATATCTTCTTGACTATGCGCTCAACCTATCAAATCTCTTCTTAACTATGCGCTCAATCTATCAAATCTCTTCTTAGCTATGCGGTCAATCTATCAAATATCTTCTTAACTATGCGTTCAATCTATCAAATCTCTTCTTAACTATGCGTCCAACTTATCAAATATATTCTTAGCTAAGCGATATTTTTTGACCGTCATTTTCGTGAAACGGCATTCTCACCAGTCACCAAGAGAGATACTGCTTACATTTTTGATGAATTTGATTGTGTTAGCTTGATGCCTCATGTGTACGCCATATATCGTGAGTAAAACGTCTCGCTGATTGATTGGCATGGTCACGTGATACAATTCCTGGTGTGTGATTGGACCCCTCTCATTACAGCGATCTGCGGGAGTCTCTCCACACACACATTTCCAACACGCACTGTGATATTTATAACTTTATATACCATCTTCATCATCGGTTCGCTGTGAACATCTTGATCTATTAAACACGATATCATATAATCGGTGACAAATATTGAAAAGAATAGGATATTTTACACCGATCTCTGCTCGCCATCTGGCGTTAAAATACTGCAATAATAATACAATGTCATTAAATGTGTACTTGGTCAGTCTCATCCAACTCTCTCCACACGTCTTTTATATTGTATTGAACACCGGGCCGCGTTGAGAGATGGTGCAGTCCTTAGTTCATCTCGCCCTCTAATACTCCGGACAATGGCGATGCTGTTTTTTCTAGATTGCCTTCTCAGTTTGTGTAACTACTGACATTGTTGTTCTTAACGTGTTATTAGGTGACAATAGGTGTTTTCTAGCCGGTGACTAGGAGCTCATTACTCAGATGCATTTTTATTCTCCTTCGGGGTACAAAGTACGTTTCTTCTGTTTTATATATTTACTCTAATGGAAACAAAAATAATATTTCTGTCCTGATTCTAATCAATACGCTTTTAATCATAAAACTATCAAAACATTAATAACATTATTATCGTGATTAATAGTCGTCTATTTTCATCTAAGAATGAAATTTGATCCAAATTTTGGTTAATTGTTAATCAAGTTGATCAAAAAGGATGTCGCGAATAAAAAACACTTAAAGGACTCCAAAGTCCATAACTTGTTCTCAATAAGTTATTCTCCAAAAATCTGCTGTTAGATTCAATATCTGATAAAACAACTTAAAATAAATTCGTTTGCTTAAATTTCTGAAAATTTAAATCGCGGAGGACCAGGGGTGGGTGGAGACTGGAGGACCAGGGGTGGGTGCAGGGGTGGGTGTTATCAGTAGTCTTAGGTATTATGTGAACGATTCCTTACGATTTGTTAATTTCAGGTTATCCCTGCCTGGCGCACAGATGGAATCAAATCAAAATTTGAGGTAAGCTATTTTGAAAAGTTTTTTTCATAGTTGTGATTCAAAAATTCAGAAGTTAAAGAAAAACAAATTTTGAGGTTTGGTTCGTAATCGTATTATAACGAGATGCTTCAAGCAAACGTTGGTGCGCTTACCCAATAAGAAATTAGAATTTTCTGGTTTTTTATCAAACATGGTAAATGGTAATTGGTAAGTGGTTACCCAGATTTAACTATATGTATAATATTATGTGGACTTGTCAGGATCAATGTTAACTCTCAAACAGATTGTGTCACTCTGTAACATGTAACACTTCAGAACAGAGAAATCAAGCTGTTATACAGCCAGTACTTCTTCAAGCAGAAGATGGAAATGGTTGTCCTCCTTCTCATCGTCCTCTGTATCAACTCCCTCCTCTTCATAGTACTCTATTTCATTAACAAGAAGGACTGGACCCACCTCCTCATTCTGGTGGTGGTTGTGTTTATAGCTTGCATCATATTGCTAATAGAACTACTCAACTCCAGAACTAGGAGCACTAAACATTTGACTCTCATATCATTTATAATCTGGCTGCTGCAGTGTGTACTGTTGTTTTCACTAGCAGGGATCAGGCAGCAGACGTATAGAACTCCAAGTGACGACGTGGCCCTGGTGGTGTTCATTACCTTCGTTACGTACACCATGTTACCACTGCGACTAATTCACACTGTCATTCTGGGGGTCATCTTGGCCATTGCTCATGCGGCCACAGTTTACGGTCTGTCTGCAGCTAAAAATAAAACAGAGGAGGGCAATGTTGTGCGTCAGGTATGTTGGCTACTTTTACTTGACTTTTTATTTTTCATTAATTTTACAGGGCTGTTCTTGTACACTGATTTAATTATAACATGTCGCATGTTATAGAATGGAATAGATGCGATTTCATGATTAATAAACTAATCTTTATAACTATACCATGATTAATAAACTAATGTTTATAACTATACCACCGTCCCAAAACCTGGCATCTAAAAATTGAGCTTTTAGTTTTAGTGTAAATTTATTGAAGATTGGAGCTATTAGTAGAGTTTTGATATAGGTACGTTTGGTATAATCTACAGATTTGTGATGACTAATAGAAAGTAAGGACATGTTTAGTTAATGTAGCTCACCAGTCACTCTTTAACAGTTTTATTTTTGACGAAATTTAAATGGTTCTATTTTTATCGAAACTTAACATTACCAAATTTGGGTCTTTGAACGCATAACTGTGGCAGGCTTGCGAGTAACTTTAAACCGTTCTTATAGTGATTTTTGACCAAATAAGCATAATGAATAGCAGTTTATATTTCTCAGGCTCATATCTGGGGTTGATAGAGATAGTAAGGACTCTATTTCTAGGTGCTACGCTCCTTAGAAAATATTTATAATTTCCAACATATCCCAACACATCTCGATTCTTTAGAAGAATGGAGATAGAATTGAGGAGTGTGATTGCGGGTCGCGTAATTAATGAACACTGAATAGCGCTATGTAGTGATGGTATAGTAGCTTAGCTGTTTACCACCCATTAGGGTCATGTTTTATGAAACTACAGGGTGGGCCAAAAGTCAGTGTGCAAACGTTGGGTCTTATACCTCCGCCGTGTTTTATATTTGAGAGCTGTTGCTTTGCAGATGGCATACTGTACTTACTGGTTCGAGGATTCCGTCGTCAAAATTTGAAAATTCGAATATTTTAGACCACGCCCATTCAATATTAAAACACCTATATTGTTTTCTCTGAACATGCCTAATTTTTTTAGAGACTGTAGATTATCAAATGTTGCATATGATCTGAAAACATGAGGCAAAACGGATTAGAAATGACGAAGTTATCAAGCATTTTGTGTATCTTGTTAACAAAATTGACTGGGTGATTATGTGACACCGTGACACGACACCTTAATTGGGCACCCTTAACAATTCCCATAATGTTTAACGGGGTCGTTAACGGGGTCACCTTATCACGTGATTAGGTAAACCAATCACCTGATCACACGTAATGAATATACTCGTTATTCTTCAAATCTCGGTCATCTGAGAAGCTACAGTTCTAATTCTTTCAGGACAAACGTAATTCGAATGGCCAAACACAATTCAATAACATTTAGCTTGATCCGACTATCCAAACTATCAAATAAATGTGAAAATGAACATCCATTTGAAAAAAATGAACGCGAATATTTTTCGAGTTGACAATTCCTCGAACCAGTGGTGGTACTAAGTCATACCAGAAGGAAGTGTTTCAATTGGGCACTCAGTGACTGAGCTATTAAGGCCAACGTTTGCACACTGACTTTTGGCCCACCCTGTATGTCATATAATCATGTTTTTATCCCCCTCAGTTGTTGGCGAACATTCTAGTGTACATATGTAGCAATCTCTGCGGACTTTACCACCATCATCTAAGTGAGATTGCGCACAGACGTACTTTCCTAGAAACTAGGGGTTTCATCAAAAATCAGCTGGAACTCAGCCAACAGAAAGACCAACAGGTGCTGAACGTTTATCTTGATTAATCATATTTTACACTACAGCTTCTTTAATATAACAGCTGTTGGGCAAAGTGACAGGAGAGTCTTGTTTAATTCATCAGAAAATCTTCGTTTAATAAATTGTTCAAGTTACATACCTGGTACATACCAGTACATATCAGTACATACCAGTATCAAATAATAATCTTGTGGGCAAGTTGTTCATTATATAACGTCACTTGTCTTTATTGTAATAATAATGTGCCAGCTATTTTAGTGGCAATTAATGATTCATGGAACAATACTTAATGGCAAATTTTCAAAGAAAGGGCGATTATTACTGGAATTACTGGAATTACTGGAATGTAACACTGGTACTCGTCCAGGAGTCGTTGCTGAACTCTGTATTACCTGGTTACATAGCAGAAGAGATGCTGAAAGACATCCTGAAGGGTAATGGTATGAGACAACAACCCATGAACCTCCAGTTTCACAAGATTTACATCAAGAAACACGATGAAGTCAGGTATTTCACCTATACTAGCATTGCTGAGTAGTATGAGATATTGCCGGGAATTGGAAATTAAGGATTATTTTCCTCCCCAATTATTTGTTTCTTGCTTTAAATGTCAGCCGTTCTTATATTATTATATTATAGTGGTTCACGAATTAAGAAATTAATTAAAAATTAACGCATATCAAGAATATGACTACTTCACTGCTACAATCACGTGTCTAAATTTCAGTATTCTGTTTGCGGACATAGTGGGTTTCACCAAGATGGCTTCAGGTTGCACTGCTCAGGAGCTTGTTAAAATACTGAACACTCTTTTTGGACGATTTGATGATCTAGCTAAGGTAATTTTGTCCCAAAAACTTTTCATAGTTTATTTAACTCCTAAAATGATTTAACGTCTTAGTTTTTATAATCATATGGGAAGTGGGCAACATCGTTAATTCTTTAAAGTTCAGTAGAAACGACCTATTTAGATAAAACTGAGACTGATATATTTGTGGTCTGTTGGTAACCCAGCATATTAACCTGCAGAAGAATAAGTGTATGAGGATTAAGATACTGGGCGACTGTTACTACTGTGTATGTGGTGTTCCCAACCCCTCTCCTGATCACGCCATATGCTCTGTTCTCATGGCCTTCGATATGATCACTTGCATCAAGTTAGTCATTATAGTGTTCTTATTTAACACGGTCACTTACCTCTATAATAATGATTGTTCAGGTTAGTTGGTAATGCTTATGAGAATTAATTTGATTTTCTAATATCCAATGATTGCAAACCGTCCTGTGACAGAGAGGTACGAGACAACACACGAGTAGAGGTGAACATGAGAGTGGGAATTAATACTGGGGGAGTGTTGGGTGGGGTACTGGGTCACAGAAAGTGGCAGTTTGATGTTTGGAGCGACAGTGTTACTATTGCTAACCATATGGAGAGCGGTGGGCTATCTGGGTCAGTTTACTTACTTTCTCATCCTTGCTTATTTTATTTTATTGATATTAATAAATGTGATTTCTTGAAGGCGGGGAGCTCACTTTCTCCTTATTATAAGTTTTCACCATTGTAATGTGTAGAAATTAAGAACATGAAAGAAACTCGTTTGTCAATCCCTAATCACTATCCAGTATCCAATGACGGTGATTAGAAAGTTAATTAAATCTCCTCCTCCCTTAGTCGAGTACACATCTCGGCGTCTACTCGAGCATGTCTGCCCTCTGATATCCAGTGTGAGCCGGGGCACGGCGAGGACAGAGACAAGTACCTGAAAGAAAAACAGGTCACTACATACCTGGTCCTTAACCCTGAATCTTGTGCTGAGCAGGCCGCCGTAAGTTATCATTAGCTGCATTTTAAACATATTTTTATTAGTAATTTATTGTCAAGGTTACCAAAACACGCTCAGTAAATAAAATACTTTGGTTTTTTATTCTAAAATGATATGAATATCACACAACTTAATCAACATGGGTCAGTCAATAAAATCTAAACTAAATACTAAATACTTAAAATACTTGAGTGGTGATACTTGGTCATGTGAAGGTCCATGTAGACGTTATTCCCGTTGTCTGGAGGTAGAGCAGTATGTGCTGCTAAAAGGTGGAGCAATATTTACTTTTAGTGACTTAATTTTTTAGATAATATGAGTTTATAGAATTTACATTTAAATTTATAGTGGTGAGAATTATATGGTGGTTATCGCATAGTTACTGGACCATTAAGGTGTTTCTAACACAGTATCGTATTAAAATTGTAGGCTTTATTCTAAATTGGCTAATTGGCTTGAGTGTAGGCTCTTTATTAGCGGTGCATTCTACAGAATTTCTGCTCCAATCGTTCTACCTCCAATAAACAGCTATATATTATGTAGCTTATAAAGTATAAACAACTGTCAGCTGTAAACATTTTAACATTAACATCAAAATGTATAGATATATTTAATGTGCCCCTGATTGGTTAAGCTTGTCTAATGTTTTGAAATAAACTACATTTACGTTTGCTTACTCTGGCTGGATATATTGGGCTGAATTCAAGTTGTAAAGAAGTTGGTTCCGGTATATTAATGTATACATTTATTGGCCAGAGCATTGTATTCATTATTCAAGGATATGTCCAAATTCGTTGTATAAAACATAATGTATCTCTTAACAATGTATTAAATCACTGCAGCAAGGCGATATCTCTAACAATTAGTATTACTCTGTGTTTCATTTTGATATAACTACGATGGGTAACATTTCTCCTATGATCTAAAGCTTAAATTATCATACAGTCTACCGTGAGTAAAACTCACTGCAAGTATTTTGAGTCAATTAATCGCCAATCAATGAAATCAAAGTTAAGCTCCTTGCAAAAACTATGTAACTGTCAAACACCATCACAGCCAAGTTGTTAAATATATCCGATACCGATACTCTACAGCTTCAGCATCTTACATGCCTCTTAGTCTAACAGACTATCAGACCGGGTAGGATGATTGTTATTTTATTCCAACAATTTCTAATAATTATCCGAGCCTTAGAATTTTTTGAATCTATGAATTAGATTTGATTAAATGTTCACTATCAATTCATATAATGTCTGATGGTTTTAATGACGTGATTTATCGATCAATCTTTCTTGCCATATTGGATATTCATTTGACAGCTTCAAAGGAGATATCTTGGCTGTGAACCATATTGTTTGTCGAGAAAGTGACACAAAAAATGTGTTAATTGTTTCCTAAACTAGGACAAGGAAATGTTCACGTAAAAATGCTAAGTTTTAAACTGAAATTAGATTTTAATCTTGGTGGGGAGATAAAGCGATCAGCTTCCAGAATCGACAATTATTGATAAATCAAATTCCAGAAACTCTGTCACTTGTCAAAATAAATATAGTTCACCTCCCCGCCAGAATCCAGTTTAGTTAATTCTGCAATTAACAATTTGGTTGAGACATCCCGGCATAGTATGCCGGGCATACTTTATAGCAATGTTTTGATCTGTTATCAGATGACAGCATAGAGTCCGAAACATGATCTTTCAAGAATTCAGAATACAACAAAACATATTATCATATAATATCATGACGCAGTGAAACTATCGGACTACGATGTATATTGACTCGGTTACATCGTTTCCTGTTACCTTCTCGGCTCCCTGTTAATCGTTTTAAAAAGACGAGCTTTGTTCAAATTTAAAGTTTTAAAATATACATTATTTATTTATTTGCAATTTGGATTGACTAAAGAATCACTGAGAAAGTATTTGACAATGTCCCCTTAGAAAGTACTATCAAAACAGCTGCCAATTACTATGATGTTGAACCAATCACCAGTCCCTAACTGTATTATAATCACACAGCGTGCAAATATGTCATAAAAAGAGGGAATAACAAAATATGGATTCGCTCACTGTTTTGTATTCATTATAAAGTTCATCGTTTGAGGTTTCTGAATTTGGAGAATTCTTTGGAGCACAGGAAGTAAAGCAGGAAGTAGAGCTCGTTTCATCAAAAGAGTTCACTTCCGCGCCGTTAGCATACTTATATTAAAAAGCAGTTGATGGGGGAAGTAATCATTTTAAAGCAGTTATTTTTCTTTATGGTGATTTGCATTCCAGGATCTTTCTAGACAGAAAGTGAGAAAGAGTTAAAGACAAAATTAACCAATAATTACTAATAAGAGTATATAATAAAAAATCGAATCATTATTGAGATACCTTTCGTGCTAAAATAATATTGTTTGCGAAAGAGTTATTAAAATTACAGTGTAATAAATAAAATCTATTGTCTATAATATGCATCGAAAATAAAAACATAACCCAAAAAGGGTATATTCAAGCAAATATTTAAGCCTGACCTTATATGGTAAAAGATAACGTTATGAACTTTCGATCTAATTAGCAAAAACACACTGCTCATGCTATACATTATGTCACTCTTCCAATACCTTTGAAAGCTTCAATAAGAACTTATTTAAGAAATAATTGAGGCAGTTCAATAAATCAATCCTAAAAGATGTCCAGCTATAACAATATTAGTGATATAGTTGTGATATAATTGTGATGCTCCAGAATAGTCATTCACAGTGTACTTGTCCAACCAGTCCTCATCCCATGTTTTGAGGTATTTCCTGAGTGCCTCCTCCTTAGTGCCTGGCTGGACACACACCTCAGCTCCACAACCATAGTTGCAGAAGTTGGTGGTATTCGTCTGTGTCTCGTCACACTTCCCTAGTGCAGGTCCTTGACAGGCTAGAGTGTAGGGGACGTAGGGTCGGGTGTGGTAGTGATAAACCACCTCGTCTGAGTCATCACTAACCGGACCAAAGTGACCACCACACTCGTCCACAACAGGTGCCTTGCCTCCAACATCCTGGAATGTGTAAATACCAAACCCGTCCAGTGCCCAGCCGGTTAAACGGCCGTGTTTGTGGGGGGTTGCACCCCTGGAGATCCCTTTGTGATCCTCTGTGAAGGCATTCAGACAGTCCGGTGCCTTGTGGAAGTGATAGATTGGAGTGGAACCAGGTGGTGCCCCATCTGGCATGTTGCTCATGTCCAACTGACTAAGCGGTGGAGTAACGTGCCCACCACAGATTAACTGGAACTTTGCTTCGTCGATACTGATGCCCCCAAAAGTGGCAGATCCTCTGATACCGATGCCATTAGTAGCCACGCCCAGTACAGCTCCATCTGACTTAGCTGCTCCAACAGTTTCAGCATCATACATGTCTCTTGGTCTATCAGAGCGGGTAGGGTTGCCTTTCAGAGGTATTTTGTACCAAGCTTCACTAGGGACCCACACATCACCATAATCTGTAGAGCCTGGCCCGTTATCACCTCCACACTTGAAGATGTCCTCTGGGAAATAGCATCGCTCCAATTCTATTTCCTCTGGGGTGCAGTACCCGTTTCCTAGTCCCAAAGGACAGTAGGGGTTGTAGTAGAAATCAGGGACAGAATTCGAGTGAATGTACCTGCAGAATCAGTATTCAGTGATGATTAAGTAATTGATAACAGATGATCAAATGATCCAAAAATTTTGAAATACAGGAAATTTTTTCCACAATTAACGTGCAGTTGTTACAGAGAAAGAGAATTTTATCCAAACTACCTGAATTCTTTATCTGTATCCATCTCCATGCAACTCCCCCAGTTGTTTGTCTTCCCAGCCTCAGTCCAAGTAACAGTCATACATTCAGCCGCTAAATCAGGGAACTCTGTCTTGTCTAAAGCTCTCTTTTGTCTGTTAAGTGGGGTGATGTTAGCGTATTCATTACACATATGGGGTGTGTCCCGTACAGCATGGTGGCAACGCTGGAAATGAATCTCTTCCACTGAGGAGCGCGCGTGTCTCCCCCCATACACTGGAACTAGCAGTACCACCTGGGAAAAGTGCCAGGAGGTGACCGGGATTGGCAATTTTGAGCTATCCCGGTCCCGGTCCTGGTCCCGGTCAACCGGGTCAAGTCACATTTTTCATCCCGGTCGCGGTCCCGGTCAAATGCTGATTTATGATCCCGGTCCCGGTTAATTCAGGATTCTTGGTCCCGGTCCCAGTCCCGGTCAATCACTCAAATTTGCCGGGATTTTGACCGGGATCTTTTACATAATTTCATTCACTGTGATTTTAAGTTTTTACTTTCATTCATTGTGAATTTCATCTTTAAACAACCTCTGAGCCAAATAAAACAATGTTTAAAATTAATATCGTTACATAACTCATAAGTGCAAACTAACATCAAGTTTTCAACTCGGGCTACGCCCAATTGTAAATTGGAATTGGAGAATGAAACTGTTGAATAATTTGAGGGATTATTGATTGAGGAATGAGGAATGAGGGTGAACTTGAGTAATCAGTACATGAACATTATTGGTGTAGTACATTAGGCCCATGCCCCATATTGACGGGTATTTTCTAGTTTTTCTAATTTAATATTCTAGTTATTACTTATTCAAATTGTTCAATTATAATGTAAATGAAAGTTGCAGCTTTCAATATGAGAATACCAGTTTTGGTCCCGGTCATCCCGGTCATCCCGGTCAAATCCCGGTCATCCCGGTCAAATCCCGGTCATCCCGGTCATCCCGGTAAAATTGGATTGTTGGTCCCGGTCCCGTTCCCAGTAAGATAGAAATCCCAGAAATTATTGGTCCCGGTCCCAGTCCCGGTCACGGTAAATTGATAATCTCAGTCCCGGTCCCGGTCCCGGTCAAGTCACATTTTGTATCCCGGTCCCGGTCCCGGTCCTGGTCCCGGTCAGGCCTAAAATCATGTCCCGGTCGCCTCCTGAAAAGTGCAATATCGATAATATGATAAATGAGACTATTTGCACGTAAGGAGTATGGTGGATGTGAGGAACCACATTTGCTAAAATTCAATTCTCCGCAGCCTACATCCTAATCCGGAAGGAGTGTGATATCATGTAAATTTATCCAAAACAATATTGCATTTCTTGAGAGTATACCTAACATCTAGAAGTAAACATCCGTATATTTACCAGATACAATGAAATCATCGTCAAGACTCCACCCAATCTTCAAATCTGCGTTTCCAAACTTATCGAATGTTTTGTTGGTTTATTTTAAATTAATTTTATTCTCTATAATGTAAGATTCTAAAGGTAAATAATAAAGAACAAACAATCTATTTTGCCTAAAGCTATCGATTAGTCAGCATTGTATTTCGGACGAAAATGAAACTGAAAATGGTAAAAGAGCTGAGTACACTGTCCTGATTTTCAACACTAAGAGGTAATTGCGGGGGGGGGGGGGGGGGGGGGGCAATCCCGTCATTTGTCTACTAAAGATCCCCCAATTTAACTTAATCGTGGTAATTGCACGAGGTATTGGAAGATGGACACGCAGTTCCAAATAAATGTCGGTAAACCTATAAGTCCATAATGCAATCTGATGCCGGAAAAGAGTGCATGTTTACCGTCTCAGAAAGTTTCTCAGAAATGTGTCTCCTTTTAAAAAGCTGGCAACAAACCCACGACTACGACTATCATGATAAACTATGAAACCCGCTGAGTTACAATACATGATTATTGCAGATGTAGTATAGATATAACACGGTTTTAGAGTATAATTGTAAATGTAACATCCAGCCTTGTGCCTACCTTCTCGTCAGGGTAGGGTACAATCTGTACATACTAAGTTTAAGGAGCAGTAAGTTTTCATAATGCAGAGTCCTGGACTCCAGGGTAAGATTATACTCCGTCATCTTACCCAGAGTTTCGTTACACTTCTTTAAATATGTTTCGACATTCTTCTAAATCTAATAGAATTATGGTTATATGGTTATAGGATGACATTTTTACGATGGAGCGAAGGTTGCCATGACTCAAATCACGTGATATTAAAGGTTTTATGTATTTCGACATTCTTCTTAATTACATTCTTAACCCAATTAAAGGTACTGTCTGGATTAATGATAAGATTGTATTAATATATTTCTAAGTTCTAAAATTCCAAGAAATAAAAAGTCTGGCGATAGGATTGGAAACAAAATGGAGTCCATAAATCCTACGAATAACGCTATTAAATTAAAACTATTAGCTCTAAAAACCTATAGGAATCGAGGTAAATGAAAATTATAGTTTTTGAAACTGACTAAACATAACTACCAATATAAAGTAACGAGTCCTTGTAATCTCTTAGATATGTTTATTGTTTATTTATATCAACTTTTTTAATTGTGGTATATTTTGAAACCGCGTTAGGTTACAAATCATAAGGTCAATTAAAGTCAAATATGATCTGTCTTATCAACTATCAAGTAAGGTTGTATATCCCCGTACCGTACAACGTACATATGTAAATTGTAACCACGTACATGATACACACATAAACTTATCGCTAAACACAGTTAAAGTGGTGATAAGATAGCAAAATTAAGCATGCAATTAGTGCTGAACCGAACTGCTCGTTCACCGAAGAACGGGGACACAGCTAGTGATAGACTTTTTTTCTAGATCAATAAATAAAAATCAATTTTAATCATAGATTATAAGATCAGGTAATCACACATCCCAAATTGTGCATAGCACAGCCTGTTATTCCTAATATGGGCATAATTTAAGTATCAGTTGGTGGGAAAGGTTACTCATTTTAGCAGAATTCAGCTAAATCAGGATTATTGGTATTAACGTTGTTGTGCTGTAGATACCATGTCGACACTTTAAATGGCAAACTCAGAGTTACTGTAAAACCCAAAACAGGACAACTTTTACCTTTCCACTACTCTAACTGTAAAGCCTAATCCTAATACAATGCACTATTGGTCTACAAGTACATTAATTGCATCTTAAACCTCTTAATCAAAGCACACCCAAATTATTCCATATTAGGCCTGGGTGGGGCAGTTTGTGTAAAATTATTGTAAAAATTAAGTATTTGCTGCTATTTAATTATTTCTTTACTTTTTGCTTCACGTTCTCAACAAGTCTCATCTCTAAATATTAATATATCTTGGCAGATCGATACAGCACTGAAACTTGTAAATTTAATATAACTGTCAAGTGTATTAGTATCGATCATGTGTACAAGCAGATATTTGAATGCACTCAATTTCGACCCCCAAGTGGTGTCAAAATCACGAAATAAATAATTATTGTAGTCTCTAAGAGGAAAACAACTATAAAGCTGTTGAGATGGGCGTTATTCCGATTAAAGGTATAAGTTTAAGATAATCAACCGGAAATGATTGCGGAGTGAGCGAAATCAGTCCTCAACTGAAGACACGCTAGAAGGACTCTCAAATTAAAATAGGAGACTATCTAATTGGTATAAGCAAATCATATACTCTCATATAAATCAAGAGGCTTGCATATAATGAACATATTGACACGGGTGCAGAGTTGAGTCTGTACGGAAACTAGTAGTTTCAGATCCTTGTTTAACTTGCCGTACAGCAAGGTCATCCACTACTTTAGCCCGGCGAGGCACATAACTCCCTCTACAACTCCATATCAAATGTTTCATATATACTAGCCAAGTTCACAAGATATATCCTTGTGTTTGAGAAGAGCTCGTTAGAACTGCTTCCTTTCCCTTCAGTATCCCACAGTCTCTGATATATTCGCCTTTCAAAATCTACTACAGATTTTTTTCTCAACTCCAAGATCAGAAACCTGGACACTGACAAAGGCTCAAGAGAAAAGTTTAGACGGGACATACACAAAGATGCTGCGTATGGTGCTGGGTATCTCATGGAAGGACAAGGTCAGCAATATTACTTTGTATGGTAGCCTACCAAGGCTGTCAAACAAGTTAAGAAGCAGGAGATTAAAAATGGCTGGACACTGCATCAAACATCCTGAGCTACTTGTCAGTGATTTAGTCTTATGGGAACCTATGCATGGTAGAGCACAGCAAGACCGACCAAGACTAAGCTACTTGTGTATGTTACTGAAGGAAGTTGGGACAAACTCTAAAGAGGAACTGCGAACCCTGATGCGGGACAGGGATATATGGAGGGGCCGGGGTTATCTGGCGTAGATCGGACTTAGTTCCGACATAGTAGTAGTAGTAGTACATATGTTTAGTAACCACATGATTAGTAACCACATGATTAGTAACCACATGATTAGTAACCACATTTTGTCGTACTAAGGAAAGAAAGTTCAGTCAGATAGTTATGCAATAATGCACGAATATCAGAAGACTAGTGACGTCAATAATGTGACCTTGTTAAATGGAAGGTTCATCTCTATAGATATCTAACAGTGGGTTTTCATTTAATCGATATTTTCCATGGAAAGCTGAGCCTTCAAGCAAGAAAGCTCACAAGCCAAAAAATGCAGACTCTGACTCCAAATTTAAATGAGGGAACCAAGTTGATCAATGAGCAGTTCGGCAAAATAAAGACAACTCATGATTAATTAAATATGCCATAAATGAAATATTAATCTAGCGGTGCTATTATTAATATTTATTTGGTGCATATTAGCTGCTAGGCAGTAAAAATATTCTGTTATCGCATCACTTATTACTGTATTTCCTAAATTAACCTAAACCTTCAGGCTCTACAAAAATACCGGAAGCAGATAGTTGAAGAGGAAGAGAAAGAGGAAGTAGAGGAAGAGGTTGAGGAAGTGAACGGGAACTTGAACAATTCCGAACAACATGAACAGAACAACAAGGGTCACACCAACGGGGCTCTTGTTAAAGGGAATAAGACCATGTTCACCAGTAAAGAAGTTCTCACTAATGGGTTAGAAGTTATTTCAAGCCATCATTATTTTTTAATTGTTGTCACGCTATCAAACCGGAAAGGTTGTCTTTGATAGGTAAGATAACTAATGATTATGAACCGCTCCAATTTTAAAATCCGTTGATCTGATAATTTAAGCCGTTAGTTTATAAACTTACTTCATGAGAATAATTTGCGTTAATCATGTTTGAGTTCTGCATAACTCTTGTTATTATTAAACAATTCTCAAACCGGTTTATGATTATACCTTATGGGTCCTATGTTTGCCATACTTGTCTCAAGTTAAAATTCCTTGAAAAAGAATAGCAGAATACCTGAAAAACTTTGGACCGACCAAATTTGTAGCAGTTATTGTTAGGGTTATATGTAAAATAAACTTGCCATATTGTCGCTTTAATCAAGAGTTTAAATTCCCAATTAGTCAGACTGAGCAGGTTGAGCTGTAGTAATACACAGTACTGAGGTGTTAAAACATTTTCATTACTATCTTCAGTAACATCCTCAAATTATTTGTTATATAGTAGTGTTGAAAGTATTAAAATTGTCGCTTTAATATATTATGTACATATTGCATATTATATATTTATATTATTGGGCAGATGAAGTAAACTCTAAGAGTCACCTTTAGTTTTTATGACGAACTAAAGTGACATCATTGAATAATAATTAATGAACTTATTTTAAGTAACAATTAATCAATTGATAAGAATTACATAATAATAACTAAAATACCAGGAACAGCGGCTCAACCGACCCTGAGGATGAGATGACAGTACACCAATACGTTGGGAAGTGGGAGAGTGTGACCCCCTTTGCAGCTAACCAGAGCACAACTAAAACCAATGATAAGAATACTGCTGGTCAGACAGGCATGGTCATGTTGCAGGTACAACATAGTTTCTTGGATACGAGTTGCTTGACTTGTTTTTTCTTGAAGTCAAATTGGTGATAAACTAGAATCTCATATTATACGAGTCAAGGGATTTAACTATAGCTATGGTTAGAGGATCAGTCTTCTGATTGGTGCTTGCTTACCTTGTTATGATTGGTCTGTTCTCCAGGTTGGACTGTTTCCTATGCACGCCAGTATAGCAGGACGGAAGGGTCGGAACCAGGTAATCAACCACCAGCAGAACCTGGACCAAGAAGTAAACGAACACATGAGAAAACAAGTAGAGGACGGTAGAAGGAAGAGGAAGTGGGAGAAATCAGAACATATCCACCGACTTACTCTTAGGTAGCGGCATTATTAGAGTGTTGCGAAATATTTAGGGTTTTTTGCGATTTAAATAAATGTGAATTTAACTTCAGGGAAAGTTAGAAAGTAACTCAAAATATTGTGCCATTTCAACCCGGGACCATCTTTGCCAGATTCAAAAAAGAAGAAATGGAGACAGATTTCCAGCGACTTCCCGACAACATGTTCAAATACTACCTAGCTTGTGCATTTCTCGTCTTCCTATTTATTGGCTTTATCCAGCTAGCCATTCTCCCGATCAACCTATACACTGCTGTCGTCTTCATTGTAACTCTAGTCGTACTGTCTGTCACAGTTATAGTCGCTATGGCAACACCAAAGTTCTGCGAATGTTTGAAGCAGTTTAGTAGCATTATAACTGAGAACCACCGAATAAGGATCGCACTAGCAGTCTCAACAACTCTCCTCGTCTATTTCGTCGCTTTTATTCAAATCGTTAGTTTTTTCTAATCATTTTGTTATGATTTTTGACATGTTTCAATTTTCTTATGTACTTGTAAAAAGTAAAGGACTGTTTCGCATCAGTTAATGACAAATCTGAACACCTGTTTTACTGAAATGTGCTAAAATGTCGATGTCTAAAATACCAAAACTATTTAAACATAGCAGAAACTGAATTCAATAATTCTCAGGCTGGATGTAAACCGTGTGACAAAACAGCCTCGAACAGTAAAGAGGCAGATCCTTGTAGAGACCCCTCACAATATTGTATCTATCCCATGGTAATTGTTTGATCATTTTCATTAGTCTGTCTTTAAATTCCTGTAATTTCATTTATCTTGAGAAATATCTATGAAATTCTTAAATCAGGTTCGCAGTTGTCATCGTTTCTCTCCTATCTATTATTGAAGTAAAAAATAAACAGAATATTTTCAGTATTTCTACATCAGTGGAATGTTGGCAATGCTGTGCAGCGCAGTATTCTTAAAGCTGGACTACATTATAAAGGCGGTGCTGATGGTGGTGGCTGTTCTTTCCTATAATCTTACTATGCATTATCCAAGAGTAGAAATCTTCGACTCTTACGACAAAACAATTATGTCGGAAAATGTATCCTACATGGTCACTGAGTAAGTCAAAATCAAGCACCTTTCAATTTCCTTAGTTTAATAAAAAATTCTTTGAAATTTTAAATGGTTGTTAGCAGAATGATACTTTATGTCATTTTATTTTCAGTGAAAAGTTTAACGAGGATATAAAGTACATGCTACTGTTGAAGGAGTATGGAACAGTGTATCTTATAATGCTTGGGATTGCATTTATTATCTTAGGTGAGTTACTTATACTGGTGTCGTTAGTTGGGTTCTAGGAATTTATACTTTCATTAATATAAAACTTCTTGTATTTGATGCGTACATATTTAATAGTGATGTTCCCGTAGCATTATATCATAAGATGCATAAATGCTGGCCACTAATCTGGCGACTAATAAATAAATTCAGAAGTGAGACATGATGTGGAGGTATTAAAACGTCCCTGGGGTCTTTTCTGAGACCCCGGGGAGGCTCTCTTGCGTTTGTGTGACTAATAAATAGATATTACTACGCTCTATAACTTAAACTTAATTAAAACTGACCAAGGCTCACTGAGTAAATAGTTTTCGAGAGTTAGCAATAACCCCACTATGAGTGCTTATACACATCACTAGAAATAAAGTGAGATATCAAGCTTACCACCCTGACGATTTTATAAACTATTCATTAATTAGGCACTGCATAGCAGTTCATTTCAGAGATTACAGGATGCTGGAACTATAACTTGTTAGCCTCTTATCGCGCAAGATCAATCAGCTCCCGACCAACAATTTCATATTACACCTCTGAATGAGGATGTAACTTTGCTTAATTGTAAAAGTGAGATAACGTCATGTTTGATTTGAACCTTTGATTTACTTCTAGGTCACGAAGTTGAAAGAACAGATCGAACTGACTTTCTACAAAGAAGCCATGCAGCTCAGAAAAAAGATCAAATGGAGGACTTCAAAACGAACAATGGAATTCTTTTAAGAAATTTGCTACCTGGACACGTTGCTGAACACTTTATGGGTAGTCATAAAATTGTAAGTGGTCGACTTGGTGTGAACAAATAGTAATTTAAAAGTAAACAGATCGTAATCGGAACGTGAACCGACCTCTTGGTTGTGTAATTTCAGTAATGTCGTTTTTGGAAGGCGCAATGCAACAGTTATTATCATGCTCGCGCAAAGAGGCGCGCATTTCAAAATATATTCCTGCGCGTATGTCCTTTTTGTGATAGGGAATGAAGACCTGTTTATCGTTTGTCAAAAACCCATCGATCACATAAGAAGTTTCATTAATCAATAATTCTGCATAGAAAACAATAATTCACCGGTGGGATAGAAAGTGTAGTCTAATCAGGAACCAGCAATCTCTTCACGTGACCATCCTATCGCAAATAGCATCCAAGTTTTGGCTCCCATACATGAAGATAAGGTCCTTTTAATATTAATTTACGCCATGAATGACACTTCACATTTCAGGGTTATTACTATGACGACTACTCAAGTGTTGGTGTAATGTTCGCCTCTATTCCTAACTTTTTCGCCGAGTTTTACGCTGAAAATGACGTAAATAACAATGGTCTAGAGTGCATGAGGGTCTTAAATGAAATAATAGCAGATTTTGATGACCTCTTAGAGAAACCCAGATTTAATTGCAGTAAGTATTTTTTCTCTAAATTTTATGATACCCGTACTAATCATTTCTGCAAGATATTTTTCATTGCCGTATGGTTGACATTGCTTCCAATAAATATGAAACTATCTAATTAATCTTACAGTTGAGAAGATTAAAACTATCGGAGCTACCTACATGGTAGCCGCTGGTCTCACTCCTAAAGCAGTCTATGACGGAACTGATACGGATCTCGACGTGTATTTGTGTCACACATGCGAGTTTGCCTTCGCAATGCAGGACTGCATCAAGAGAATCAACAAGCACTCCTTTAATAATTTCCAATTAAGAATAGGTATGTTGATAAGTCATAATTAACGATTATTTAAAGATTGCTTGAGTGTTTTTCCGTGGCCAAAATTTAAAAGATCTGATCCTTATGCTTATCCCATCGGCTCTGTCGGCTCAAACGGTGCCATATCTTGCTTATTGACAAATGTTTTAACTTTCTGAATTAAATTTGTAAATTCAACAATCTTTGAAAATTTGTTGGTGGGTGAATTATGATTTACTGATATCACATTCATCTATTGATTACAAGTTGGTTTATTTTCTCTTGCTGCTACTAGGTATTAATCATGGGTCACTGGTGGCTGGGGTGATCGGGGCCACGAAGCCGCAGTACGATATTTGGGGAAATACTGTTAATGTTTCTTCTCGTATGGAGAGCACGGGCAAAGTCGGCAAAGTTCAGGTAAGAATTAGTTTTTAAAAGTCACGGTTTAGGAATTTAGGAATTTGGAATGCAGAGAGGCTAAAACAGCTGTTTAAATGTGTTCTCAGAATCATAATTATCAGTCTTTTTTCTTATTACTAATCGCTATTTTTGCAGATTACAGAGGAGAGTTGCTTGTTACTTGAGCCATACGGGTTCAGATTCGAGGAACCTCATTTTGTAGAAGTTAAGGGGAAAGGGACAATGAAGGCCCGATTTTTAATTGACAGAAAAATTGTATCTACTTGATCTATTTTTTTCAGATATTTTAGTGTATTTTCGTTATTTGTATATTTAAATAAGTTATGACTGAGTTACATTTGCGGTTAATTTGATTTCATTTATTGTAAAATACAATATCAATCATTCAGATTTCAGCTCGATTCACATTAGGAGGGATTTCTACTTTCAATAACGATTTAAGCTAATTTTGACCCTTAAATTACCTTTCTAATAACTTTGATGATTTTTATGATGAAATATTGTTTTGACTTAAATTCCCCATGATATTCTTGTTTAAACTTCAAGTTCTTGTATCAGTTGAGGGTTTTATTATTGACCAATAGTAGGGCAGTAAAGCATGATTTCATTCAATTATTTCAATTCAAACAATTTTTAATTCATTTAAAAAATATTATTACGATTAATTCAATGCTTTCAATATTTGTAATTTAAATTTTGGTTTAAGAGCCACCACCAGAGTAAAAGTATTTTTTAAACAAATTATGCGATTCACAAAACAGATTGCGAGGAAAACATCAAACATGAGGTTTTTTATTGGAGCCATGAATCGAATAAGTAGTCAGAAGTATTGCAAATTTGACTGAAATTCCTCCAGAATTTGAAATGTCAGAAGAAGGCTAATGACTCGTTTAGTCGTATTCAAAAATTGTTGCAATCTAAGATTTCCCCTAAATTTTGTATTAAATATTATAGGCAACTGATATGATTTTACCGAGCCGCAATCTTCCAATTAGAATTCTTAAATTTTTGTCTGTTCTCGATCAGAACCCCAAATACAACCATTCATATTTTCTACAAATTCATGCGAAAAAGTATATGAAAAAAGTTATGGAAGAGGGACAGAATAAGCGATTATGAAAATTGCGAAAATTTGCAGTGAAATGTACAATGTACTAATGTGCACCTCTATTGTATATGGTGGCTTTGTTTGGTTTTAATAGTGCAGCAACTTACCTAAGAACGTCACATATTTATTTTTTATTTGAAATAATGTGTGTATTTGTACAACAGTAAAGATATGATCATTGTAAGTACGAAACAATATTCATTTTTTGTTTAAACAGATGAAACCAAGACTTTTCACTTGTCCTATTGTGCTAACGAATTTGTTTAATTAGAAATCGACAGAGTAGTCTCTTATATTGAGAACTCATTTTTACATAATATGAAACGTTTTGTAAATTCAATTCAAATCCATGACAAATGTAAAACCGACAAAAAATATAATTGATCAATTTAAAAAAGTATACTCTGTTAACTTTAAGCAGAATAAACGGTTTACAATCTGAATTCTTTCAAATAGAAAAGGGTATTGCTGTGAGTGTGAATACTGAACAATATATAACAAGGTTAATATCTGCTATCCCTGGTTTCAGCTGCTGTTTTACTTTCAACTGACAATGTTCAGAAAACGTAACTACGGAGCGGGTAGTTCATCATCTACTTTTAAGGATCTCAGTACTCACATCTGAGCAGCTAGGAGATTTGAACATTGTCATAGTCTATTATTATACTAGTAGCTTCACTGTCGCCCTCAGTCCCAGATTGTCCCTCCTGGTCTTGTTTCTCTTCTAACTCCTTCCTCTTATCCCTCTTCTTTTCGTCCGCCTCTTCCAGTACTATATCTTCATCTGCCTCCTCTGTATTTCCTGCTTCTTCCATCGCTTTTCGTTTTGCTTCTTCCTCTGCGGCTATTCGTTCTGCTTCTTTTTCTTCCCATGTTTTCTTTCTGAACAGGAGTTTTAGATGAATGTAAAATTCTTTTTCGTCGCTAGCCATCTTTTCGAGTTCTGCCTTTTCTTCTTCGGTAAGATCTGGTCCAAAGAAAATTTCTTTGTATTCTTGGAGGGGCACAAATATTTCTTTGTTCAATCTTTTTTCTAGACCATCAGTTTTTATGATTATTCTGATTCCAGTCTGGTCCTCGATTTTACCGAGAAGGCTCCTTGTGTCTTCTTCCTCCTCTCCGTCCTCTACCTCCCCATCTTCTTCTTGAGTGGCATTCAAAGTGTCTTCTTCTGAATCTTTGTCCTCAAACACGTCACTCGCATCCTCTCCTGTCTCTTCAGCTTTCGCGGCTTCTTCTTTTGCTTTTGCCTCTTCTTCTGCTTTAGCTTCTTCTTCAGCCTTAGCCTCTTCTGCCTCCCTCGCCTTTTCTTCTTGTGCTTTTATCAATTGTTTCTGAAAATATATTGTGCTGATCCTATATTTATTATTTATGTTATAACTATTAACTATAATATATATATATATATAGGATATATATATATAAGGATTGTTTATATAATATAACGAAGGTGCAGTTTATATCTCCCGCGAAAGCACATGACACTCCCCAAATTGCGCGCATTGTAGTAACTTCATGAATCAATCTTTGGCAATCTATTAAGAATCAATGTATGCACTTATATAAAATTTATATAAGTGCATACATTGATTCTTAATAGATTGCCAAAGATTGATGATAATAAATCACTTGGGAGTTGGGATACTTTTGAAAGATAATGACAAGCTAAAAAAACCGTATTCTCCGTAAAAACTAAAAGTACAATAGCATTAGCGTGAGTAGCTTTTGTTGAGGTGCCTCAAAAGGGTCAAAAGTGATTTTGGACGATTCCCCGTCCAATTTTGGTCGAAACCCATCAACTTAGTGCAAAATAAAACAAGTTATAGAACTATTTCATACGTGTCAAATTGGATGTGTTTTCGCTTACCTGGGGACCCCAGGCTATTATGTTCATAAACATAATAGAGATTAGGCGGAATGACAGGCTGAGCGCGGCCCAGTAAGTTTTCGCGGGATAAGAAGAAGCTATTTAAAGTGTCTTACGCGGAGGGAAAGTAGATCTAAATTCTAAAATGACCAAAATTAAAATTGGTTTACGTAATGTGTGAACGATCCCTATTGAGTATTTAGCATCATACATGTGGCGATATCAAATACTTCCTTTATAATGTTGTACGAATCGCTAAAATTGTGTATGTGGCAATCTTACATGCAATAGAACTGCCAGAAATTGTAGAATTGGATCATAATTTTATAAAGGGAGTCCCACTCTCTTACCTCTTCAAGACGTTTCAAGCGTTTCTTGTTTAACTTCTGTGCTTTTGTAATGGCCTGAAGACGAAGTATTTAAATATCAAGTTTTTTTTCAAGCATGTAAGCATCATTACTTTACTGATTTAAAACTCAGAAACTTTACTACAAAACTCATCGGGAAAATTTATCGAAAATCAATTAAGATTCTTCGTTATCGCTTTGTCAAACCTTAATAATTCTTTTAAGTCTTTTCTTTTTGACTGCTGGTTTTTCTAGATTTACAGGCGTCTCTAGCAGGGTCTGTGAATGGAAGTCTTCATTATCTATTTGGTAGTCTTCGTTTATAAGTTGGGGGTCTTCGTGAATTGATGGTTCGGGGACCTAATCATGAAAAAGGAAAATTTCATGTCGAAGAAATTTCTTACATTTAAAAAGTTTCATGGTTAGAAGATGCGATTTAAACATAAAGTGATTACATTTAAATAAGAAGATTATTTTCTCTGATATTACCATAAATCAACTTTTTAATGTATGACTATGAGTAATTACTTTAAAAATTTAAATAATATGGAATGAGTAGAACTTTAGTATTTTTAATGACTGAAAGCATTAGTACGAAAAACGATTAGCGGCTTGCAAGTAATTTGGTGAGCTTAACGTTTGTTACGTCTGCATTTTATTTTTAAGTTGTTTAGTTGTTGTTATTGTAGCCGTGTCATTACAGGTTGTCATTGTAATCCTTGGGCAGCTGCTACTCATTAAACTCATACAGTCAACAAGTTAATGCAGTCTATTGTTGCTAATTAGTTACAGCTTGCAGTAAATTATAGTTGTGATTGAGCGTAGCTTAGCCTTATCGGACTTTAATTTAACGGACATTAAAATGAACGTTGGGGCCTCCAGCTACCAATTAATGTCCGTTCAAATAAAGTCCGATAAGATACGTATTAAAGAATGGGTTATACCAAGTCTGGCTTGATCTCGATTTCATCCTCATCTTCAATATCTAGGTTTGGTGGTGTGTAGTGAGAAAAGTCCAATCTGAACTGTAATTCCACGACGTTATCATCGTTAACCACCACTATCAGCCTCTTGGTTCTTTCCTCCTTCGTTCCCTCATCTGCAAAGAAATTGCATGAAATATTTTTGTAGAAGATTGCAGGTTGCACCTTAAACCTATCAAGTATCACCATTTATTATTGGTCAGATAATTTTAACAGGATAATTCAGATATTGATACCTACTTCCAATCAGAGAATCTTTAAATTCTTTGAGAGTGAGCCTTGTTTTTATAACCATTTGCTTCCAATCATCTTCATCTTCCACTTCCACTCCCACCTTTCGCAAAACATTTCTCATCGAGTCCTCAAAGTTTGACCCACTTTCTTCTTCTTCTTCACATTCCTCTTCTACCCCATCTTCGAGCACTTCTTCACATTCGTCTACATTTTCCTCAAAGTCTTCCTCGTCAGATTTCCGCCCGAATAAACTGAACCCTCCCTTTTTAGAAGTTTCTGGATCGTTTTCTGCGTATTCTTCTTCATCTGGTATGGGTGGTGGGGATTTTTTCCTGAAGAGACTAAATCCTCCTTTTTTTGCTGGGTCGGGTGATTTTGCTTTTGCTCTAAACAAATTGAATCCACTACGTTTAGGTTTTAGATCTTCATCTGGTAATGGCTCATTTACTTCTACTCTGTCAACCTCTTTAACAGCCTCTTTTGGGTCGTCTTTTTGTGCAAACCAACTTTCGGACATAGTTCAGGTAATAATATCGTCTTTAAACCAATGAAAACTCACAGATTTAAGCAGAATGTGCAAAAAGGCAAATAACTATAGCACACATAAATTTCATTTTAGCAAAGAACATTGATTTGCTGACATATTGCCTTAAGTTTACAGCATGCCACTGACTCTACAGCTTTAAATGAGCAAATCCTGTTTAATCGTATGTCCGCATAGTTTGTAACATCATATTCACATTCAAAGTTCATCATCTTAAAGTTGGTGACATGTAAGCATCGGTGCTGCAAGCACCGAATAATAAGACAACTTATGAATATTAGTGTCCTGCAACATTTTTAGGACCTTTACTGATAGTTGAAATTCGACATATGACGTCATCTAGCGTCATCTAGCGTCATCTAGCGTGAAATATCGCCAGATGATGATAGATGACGCTAGATGACGCTAGATGACGCCAATTAGCGACATTGTCGCTAAGTGCACGGCACCTTTCGAATGTCGCTATCTAGCGCTATCTAGCGCTATCTAGCGCTATCTAGCGCTATATGACGCTATATGACGCTATATGACGCTAGATAACGCTAGATGACGCTAGATGACGCTAAGCACGCAGCACTGACGCCAGGCGACAGATAGCGCTATTTTCATAAAATTTCCGCCCTTTTTTTTGCGACATCTAGCGGTATCTAGCGCTATCTAACGCTATATGTCGCAACGACATCTGACGCAGCGCTATCTAGCGCTATCTAGCGCTATCTGGCGCTATCTAGCGGAGAATGTCGGTTTGTGACAGTTTACGCTAGATAGCGCTAGATAGCGCTATCTAGCGCTAGATATCGCGGCGACAGCTAGCGCTAGATAGCGCTATCTAGCGTAAACTGTCACAAACCGACATTCTCCGCTAGATAACGCTTGTTAGCGCTAGATAGCGGTATCTAGCGGAGAATATCGGTTTGTGACAGTTAACGCTAGATAGCGCTATCTAGCGCTAGATATCGCGGCGACAGCTATAGCTATGGCTATAGTTGTTAAACGTTAAATATCTAACGTTGGTTATAAGTTTTATTTTTAACGTTGCAAAACGTTTATTATTTGACGTCAGATCAAGGTTACCTTATTAACTATAAGCAGAGTTTAAAATTCAACTACATTTTAAAGTTGTATGTAGGTTACATATAAAACGTTGTTAAACGTTAAATATCTAACGTTGGTTATAGGTTTTATTTTTAACGTTGCAAAACGTTTATTATTTTACGTTAGATCAAGGTTACCTTATCAACTATAAGCAACGTTCAAAACTCAACTAAATTTTAACGTTGTATGTAGGTTACATATAAAAACTTTGCCGACTGGTATAGGCTTAGACTAATATTTTGAGAAAAAGCGGCGCGTGATAGTAAATTACGAGTATCACCCGTTAACGAGTGAGATTCGTCCAGTATAACCTGTTTATGCTCTAACCATAGCCCTCTCGCTAGTAGTACGCTTAGACACATGGCTATGTGAAAGAAGATGATGTAAAGATCTAAATGTTAAATTAGAATTTGCAAATTAATAGTATTAGGGGGTGCACGATAAAAATAAACTTGCTCGGATTTTAAAATTTTTTGTACCACTGTTTTCTAGAGACTGTGAGAATTTTCACAATACCAAATTTGTCATACCTTTTTGGAAAGATCAGTGAGTATTGCCTAAGTGCCATATTTGATGGTGCGCGGCTTTTGGAGCAAAATTAGCTGTAAAAGTCGCGTAATTTGACCAAATTCGTCCAAATTTGACCATTTTTGTCGTATTATTCGGATTTATCTTCAGTTCCTTAAATGAGATCATTCTGGAAATTGGCGACGACCTTCCAATAGGGCTTTCACAACTGTCCGAAAAATTTGGTGGATATCGGAGTTGATATAGTGATCAAAATGGAGCAAAATACGCTGCTTTTAGCTGTAACATAATGTCTGATGGTTGGATATGCTTTAAATTTTTCGGACACTTTCCTTGTAAGTCTATGAGTAAGCTTACCAATTTTTGTTGTAATTGGAGGTCGGGAAGGATACTCAATATCTATTTGTTTGAAGAAAATTGTGCTGGCCGAAATCAGCGCTAAAAAACCATCCTACAGTCGGCACGCGCGGCTCACTGTCGATGGCGCACTACCTAATAGTATTGAAATCTCGCACAGCAAGTTATTAAAAGAATGTAATGAGAGTCGAGCCGAATTTATTGTTCAGTAATCACATATATCGTACCCACGAGTTTTCAGTTTACGAACTACGCGCAAGTGTGAAGACTGAAGTGCAAGCGCGAAAGCTTTAGTGCAATTTAGCTACGAAAATACCAAAACCCTTAAATTATGCGATGCATTCAGTATTTAGAATTAATATATTATAAATTTATAAGTTATGTCAATCCTCTTACCTGGGGACCCAGGCTATTATGTACATGTTCATAAACATTAAGATTTGTTGTAGCGCGATGCACTACTGGGCCGCGCCGCGCAGCCAATAATATAATGCTTCTTGCAACCACAAGTGGCGTGCTTTACTAAACATACTTGGTCAGTACGTTACTGTATGTACGAACTTTTAGTTTTAAAAGGTGTCGAACTGTACAAATTTTAAAAAGCTGTCGAGGAATTTTTACCGAATTTTTAAAAAAATTTTTGTTTTTTAATCAGTAATCACTTCAAGTTCAGTCCGAAAAATTTGTTATTTTTGTCCAGGAGGTTACATTTCAGATTTAAAATATTAACATGCATCCGCACGTCATCGTTTCCCGCCATTTTAACACAAATTTTTGCAATTAGCTTTTTATTATATATTTCGAAAATTTATGAGGCGAATTTTTCCCAAACTAATCCCGAACTGAAAAAACGTGCCGAACTGTACGAATTTTTTACGACTTTTGTACGAACTGATGACTGACCAACTATGTTACTAAATTGGCGATATGCACCATGACTGGGCCTCGCCGAGCTGTGAACATGAACAGTGAAGGATTGACATCGTGAATCAACGCGATGCGTTACTGTGACTGTGAGTGTGTCGCGCCGCGCATCCAAAAATGCTTCTCGGTATCCAATAATGCTTTTCGGCGAAATGCACCACTGAGCTGTGAAAGATTGGCATCATGAATCAACGATGTTAGTAACTTGTATAAATTTCGTCGAAATAGTACGTGCCGCTTTCTTCCGATCCCGAAATGTTAAGGGTCGACGGTCGTTTACATATTAGTATTACGTAATCAGCTGAGGAGGTTGGGGTTTTCAAATGATTATTGATTACGCTAGTGTAATATTGACATAAATATAATAGCTATGGTAAAACTGATTACGGGGTATGTGAACGACCCCTCATTGTTAGTAATCAGTTCCATACATAGCTATTAAGCTATTAGTATTATGTCACAATCACACTTGTAGCGCGATGCACTACTGGGTCGCGCGCGCGCATCCAATAATGCTTCTCGCAACCACAGATCGTATGCAGATCGGCGTGATGCGAAGGATTGACATCGTGAATCAACAATCACACTAGCGAGCGTAATAATTTGGAAAACCCCGGCCGGCGGCATCAGGCCCTTTATATAATTATAATATGTAAACGACCCCTTGATTAAGACTAAGTGATATTTAATATTTTGTTCCACTCAGCCGAATATTTGATAAATCGAGTGTAATAGTTGGGTGACTTCGACGAGCCGCGCAAGCTTATAGTTATATCATTTGCAGTCTCACTTAAATTATAATTAATTTTCATACACAGTAAAAATTAATTTTCATATAAAATAAAAATAACAAAAAAGATTGGGTGGGAAAGACAGGCTGCGCTTACGGTCCCAGTAAAACACACACACACACACACACACACACACACACACACACACACACACACACACACACACACACACACACACACACACACACACACACACACACACACACACACACACACACACACACACACACACACACACACACACACACACACACACACACACACACACACACACACACACACACACACACACACACACACACACACACACACACACACACACACACACACACACACACACACACACACACACACACACACAGATTTAGGATTACTGTTACTGTGATAGGATATGATATCTTATGCTATATGTAGCGACGACATCTGACGCAGCGACATATAGCGCTAGATAGCGACATCTAGCGCTAAATAGCCTGGACTGTCACGACCCAAAATTCTTCGCTATTTAGCGCTATCTAACGCAATTTAGCGCTATCTAACGCTATCTAGCGCTATATGTCGCAACGACATCTGACGCTATATAGCGCTATCTGGCGCTATATAGCGCTAGATAGCGTGAACTGTCGTAAACTGACTTATCCCGCTATCCAGCGCTTGATGTCGCCTGCGTCAGATGTCGTCGCGACAGATGTCGTCAGATGACGTCAGATATCGCTAGATGGCGTCAGATAGCGTCAGATGTCGCGGCAACATATGACGCTAGATGACGCTAGATGTCGTCCCTAGAATTTTTATGAAAATAGCGCTATCTGTCGCCTGGCGTCAGTGCTGCGTGCTTAGCGTCATCTAGCGTCATATAGCGTCATCTAGCGTCATATAGCGTCATATAGCGTCATATAGCGCTAGATAGCGCTAGATAGCGCTAGATAGCGCTAGATAGCGACATTCGAAAGGTGCCGTGCACTTAGCGACAATGTCGCTAATTGGCGTCATCTAGCGTCATCTAGCGTCATCTAGCGTCATCTATCATCATCTGGCGATATTTCACGCTAGATGACGCTAGATGACGCTAGATGACGTCATATGTCGAATTTCAACTATCAGTAAAGGTCCCATTTTTATTGTTCATTTATCAAGGTAACATATCTCGAAATTAATTATAAACCCAATCACCACAAAGATATTAACGAAGTAATCAGTGCACAAAACTCCAATTTTTCCAAATATTCCGTCCGACCTCAACTTAAATTAGGATCTATTTTTATAATCGTCATTGAA